TGTGTATACAGACATCATATGGCAGGGATGTTTCTGGTTTTATTCTCTATTTCCTTCTTAAAATTTCATTAACAGTTTAATCTTGTGATCAGCACTGAGAGATGCTCTTATGTTTTCATGGAAGTATCTATTTATCACTTCAGGTAACTCTGCCCTAAATTGTATTCATTAGCTAAACTGCTTTTTTATGTAAAGCCCCTGAAGAAATACATGAGATGAGCTGCTTCTTCCATTTTTCCTCTCTACCTACAGTATCACGGCTGTGGAGAGAGACTTCCATGTGCCCACTGACCAGTGAAGGAACCAAACAGTAAGAAACACTCTTGTTCATCCTGTGTGAAAGTACTCACAAATAATATAGTTGGTGTTTTAAATAAATTCAGAAATTATTTAGCCAAGTGTCTGTGTAGAATGGGGCACACTGAGCTCCATAAGGATCTGAGCATCAGACAGACCTCTAAATCCACATTAATACAGATTATGATCCATCATATATTTGCAACACTCACAGGGGAATGGTAGGGCCCAGACCCCATTTCAGTAAGCGTTTGTTCTGCAGGGGATGATGGAAATCTCCAGCATCAGAAAATGCGAAAAACAAGGTAAGCAAACATCTCCCCAGAGAAGTGCATGTCTAACTAATCCCCCTGATGAAGGAAGACTGGCTGACTGAACTCTCAAGGTCCTTCTCACCCCTTATCTTGAAGTGTCTCAGATTATCAGCCCTCTCACAGATTGTTAAACAGATCGGTCCCTATTTCCCCAGAGCATGTTTGGGGATAAAATCTGAAAACACCTTCCTCTCTCATCCTTCTCTTAAAATTCCCCTTTTTGAATAGCTCCAACAGTACTGCCATACCTTTCTGAAACAACAGAGCAATTCAAAATCACTCAGAAGCTGGGAGATACCTCCTAAGTGTCCAACATATCCTTGGTCACCCAGGTACCTTTCTGATTTTCACAGAAGGGCAGAATGCAGTGGACACAAAATTCTTATCAGAAAATAATAAATATCTGTCTTGAGATCTTTGAAAATAACAGCAGCTTTGTGTTTCCAGCCAACATGTGTTATGACCTCAAGTTACTGGATTGCCATTTGAGAAGCTGTTTTCCAAAATGGAATCTTTTAGTTCTGTTGCCTGCTGTCCCCTACAGTATATTAAAGTGATGCTTTGAGAGACCAAAAGGTTCATCTACCCATTTCCTTATAATGGGTATTAAATCCTGCCGTTTTCCTGGAGCATCTGCAGCAAAGTTTGCATTCTAAATGTAATTGTGTTACCCACGGGTAGTGTCAGAATTCTAGGGATAACACCATTACTATGCTGAGTGCTCTGATGGTTATTTCCGTATTGACTAGACTGAGGGCTCACGCTCATTGTGTAACAATGACCTAAAAAGCACACTGGGATGGAATAAAATGGCAGAACTCAATTTCAGACTTCGTAAGATTTCTGAAGCAAATGCCATTTCGAAAAATGTCAGCTGAGTGAGGTTAGCATGGCAGGATTATCCTCTGTAATGGTTAAGAACTCAGCAGACCCCAGCTCATCACGAGTGGATGCTAATTATCTGGAGTGAATAGTATCTGTGTGCAGCATCCAGCTGGCCAGGAGCCCAGAGCGGCTGCATCAGTTACAGACCCAAGATCGACTTTTACTTGTGCTGGTCCTGGGGCATTTTAGGTGACATGGGAACGGCACCAGCTGCAGTGGGAAAAGCTCTGGCCTCCTACCAAGGTAGGAGAGCCCTGCCCGCCATCCACCGGCTCCTGTCCCGCCATCTAGTGGGGTGTCTCCACATGGCACAGGCGTTCAGAAAGCCTTAAGTCTGGCAAGAAAACAGAGAGCTCGTGGGAGGACGTCTTCTTTGAGTCTGCTCAACAGGGATCACTAAGTTAATTGAAGATGTCTTCAGGGTGAAGAACTGAGCAGAGACGTCTGCATTAGAAGCACTGGCTAACTTTGAAGTGGTGCCTGTGGATAGAAATCGTAACCTTGGCTCAGGTTGCATTAAAACCAGCTCCATGGATAGAGCTGTGAGCTGCCTTGCTGGGACCCTCTTCCCCGGGGCTCAGCAGGTGTTTGTGCTCAGGCCTGTCCCTCACTCCTCACCTGCGCTGTGCTGCAGCCACGCTGTGTCCGGCCCCATGTGTGGCTCATCCCAGCCGTGGTGTGGCTTTACACACATGTCCCACACTGCTGGCCCGGCTGGGGCACCCTGGGACTGAGCCCTTGCTGGGGAGGACACCTCCCCTGCCCGCAGTTCCAGCTCCCCTTCCCTTATGTAGCCAGCCTGGCTGCTGCTCCGTGAGAAGTCAGCTTGAGCTCTCCTAACAAAGGGATCTACTCGTGAGCTATCTATCTTGTGGAGGTAAAATAGGATACATTCCATTTCCATTCTTTGCAAAACAATTGAACTGGCCAGGTATGCACTGGTAATTTTTTTTTTTCTTTTTTTTCTTTTTTTTTTTGTGGATGACTTTATAAAACCTCCACTCTGCTGTTTACTGCCCATGGACTAAGGAGAGTTCCAGCCAACACATGAAATTAGATCCCTGCTCACCTTTGCCTTAGGTTTGGCATGGAAGGAGCCCTTTCTGCAGCATACCTCTAATCTGAGTCAAAGGACTGTACCACATTGTATTTAAATAGGATTAAAATAGGTACTCGCTAGGATTAAAGCTCTGGACACTGCAGAAGCTGAATGTTTCTCCTTCTGTGTACAGGTGATTTCCATGCAGATCCATCTTGCCATGCAGGGCAACATTTCTTTCTCATAATGTCCCTTTTCCAAACCTCTTGTTCATTCTGAATAGGGATTTGAAGATAATATTTTTATCCTAATTGTGTAACCACTCTGAACAGGTATAAATGACAACACACAGTTCATCTAAGAATCACTTGGTGATGAATAGGGTTAAAAAGGACCTAGAGGCAGCCTGTCCCTTTGCTGTGGGGCAGAGTCAGCCATTACCTGTGTCAATAATAACAGATCTAACATGTTTTCTGATCTTCCATGAGCAGGTTTCTAGGTTGTTCTCAAAAATCTGCCAGGACAGAGATCCAGGTAGACAGACTGTTCTTTGCTTCTCTATTGGCTGTACTGCAAAGCATTTCCAATGGCTAATCTAAATCTTCCTCGCAGCAAAACATACTTACCCATATTTCTTCTACTCTTTCCCTCTGCTCTTGTGAACCCTTGCTGATCAGTCCATACCTTTTTCAAAGTGTGTTGCTAAGCCGGAGTCAGTGCTCCAGGAAATACCAGCACCAACAAACAGAGCTCAGCCCCTCATATCTATGACAGCACAAGTTTCTTACACATAACATTACCACTTATGTACCCTAATGTGGTGTGGGCTTTTCTCAGAACATGTGAAATAGACATTAGGATTTTTTCTACCACTTTTTCTACCATTTTCTACCACTGAAAGGCTGATCAAGCATCAGAACAGGCTGCCCAAGGATGTAGTTGAGTCACCAGCCCTGGAACTTTTTAAAAGATAAGTAGATGTGGCACTTAGGAACATGGTTTAATGATGGACTTGGCAGTGTTGGGTTAATAATTGGACTCAATGAACTCAGAGGCCTTTTCCATATTAAATGTTTCTATGACTCTGTGATTCTGGTTCAGCTTTGAATCCAGCAGTATCCCAAATCTTTTCTGTACAACTGCTGCCCAGTTCCCTGTCCTGTGTCCATGGCTGATCATTTTGCTCTGCACTCAGGAGTATGACATCAGAGCACCCATACAGAGCACATCATCTTCTCAGCATTCCCAGGCAGTTGCCAGCAGCAGAAGCCTACAACAGAGCAGAGGGCCAGGGCCAGGAAAAGGCAGCACTTTCCCTATGCACTCTTTCAGTTTCTAGTAATGTGTGGCTCAGAATTTGAATGTTATGATGCATCTTTGTGTTCAAAAGCCTTCGGTCGGTTTTTCCTTTAGTAAATGTTTGACTGCTCATTGACATGCTGGCCTTGTCCAAATGCCTTCTAACAATTCAGGCCACTTGTCCAGTGTGCCAAGATCACTTTTTAATTCAAATCTTAATTTCCAATACACTTGTGGTCCTTCCCAATGTAATGTTACTGCCACTTTAATGAATGCACCTTCTATTCCTCTATTCCATCATTCAGCACATCAGTGGGACACAGTGACCCAAAGATCAGGGGCAGGCCTTTCTACCACAGCCCTTTCAGTCACAGGGATGTTTATAAGGTTAGTAAGTATAAAGTTCCAGGTGGGCAGCAACTTGCTTCATAGTTTTTCCTAAAAATGCAGCAGTTGCAGTGCCGGCTGACAGCCTCACACGCCCCGGGGCAGAGTTTGAGTGAACTAGCCTGGTGCAAACAGTGCCACAGATATAAGGGGTTTATGGCTGCGCAGTGACCTCTGTGTCTGTTCGCAGAAGTGCAGCAGCCAGCGAGAGGAACAGAGCGCTCAGGGTCCCGGCTGCAGCCACAGGAACTGTGTAAATACTGAAGATGCCAAGATAAGAACACCTGCATCTGTTCTGAGCGCAAGAGGGGTTGTTGCTCAACCGACGACCTTCCTTGTATTCTAAAAAGTGATGCCTTTGTCTGGAATGCCTTCATTTATCTAGTCCAATCTAACATGATCTATCATTTGTGAATAGATCTGTGCTGATAAACTACACTAATGATCAAAGCTTAACTCCTTCAACTAGTAATCTTGGGATCTGGGATTCAGGCTTAGTACATTGCCAATGTAAATCTAAATTATGAATTTTGGCTCGAGATCCAAAACAGTCGAAGAATTGCCAAGCACTGGAAGACTGACTATACTCATAACATAATTCACCTGAAAGAATCGAACTGATAGTCTGATCTTTTGTAAGATCAATTCCCAATTAATAAGAAGGGGTAAAATATAGTGATCAAATCTTTATTACCTGGAAATGCCCCGGGGAAAGAAATTGAAGGAAACTACTAAAAACTACAGTTTCCATCTGTGTGTGTTGAAAGCGGAGCTACAAAGTCACAGCTCTTTGTCTCTGTTGTAAATTTCAGATAGATCTGTGAAGACATGAGCTGATCACGTGCATCCCCTCTCCCAAAGCCTTTGTGCTGGGAGATGCACTGGGGAAGGGAGCACTGGGCACTGGGCACAGACTGTCCTGACAGCCTCTCTGCAGTGCCAGGGCTTGCTCAATCCTTTAATCTTCATTTTTCCAGTTTCTTTCTGCCAAGAGATATGTATGTGTCTGTGTGTGGAGGATTCTCTCCCCCACACCCAGCAAATGATGTAAAACATCACCACTATTATGTGACTTTCACAGCCATTTACAAAGGTTAGAATACACTGGTGCCATCCCTTATGTCATAGCCCAGTATCACCTCCCTTCCTTCAGCCTCACCTCTGCTTTATTTCCACTGATTGCACCCCGAAGGAGACATAGCTGAAGGCAGGATCTCCTCCCTTTCCTTACAGCTCAATGGGAGTTGACACAATGGGCTGAAAATGTACTTGTATTTAGGGAAAGAATGGTGTAGTATCAGCTGTCATCTGGTGATTTAATCCAAGACACAATTAGTTGAGCACAGCCATATCCAGATGCTAATACTTGATGGAAGTAATACTGCAGTAATTCACAATTCTCTGAGGTGTGGCTTTCCATGAAAAAGGCTTCTTGTGAGACTCTTCAGACACCTGCATAGAAAATCCTCCTCAGATACTATTAGAAGACTCATCTGTATTTCCATCAGTCCTTCGGGATTTACACAACACCAAAGGTGAGGTGCACTATCAGGAAAACCTGTCACATCATTTTGGCTGTCAATCGGCAACTAAAAAGGTGGAGGGAGGGAGGGACCACATTTTTAACTTACCGCTCTGAAATGTGAATCCAACTCTGGCTAGATGTGAGAAGTGCTTGAAGAGGCTGCTTGGACAGAAAGCAGGTGAGGAACACTAAGGTTTTCTCAAATGTCACTGGCTTCAGAAAAAAGGGAAAAAAGTGCATTTTCAAATCTGTTTCACAAAGTATCAGCACATGATGTAATTCTCAGTTTATATGGCATCACAGGAAAACTGGTACCTCAGTGAAGCCTATGCCAATTAAAACACTGCTAACTTCAGCTTGATACTGATTTAACTTAACTCCACATCAAACTGGTGCTCACACAGGAGCCTTGACCCATTTAACAGACACATTTTACAATGACATCTCACATTTTACACCTGCAACTCTTAATACAGACCTACAGGCAAGGCAAAGAAACCTGAAGGTCCATCTACCTTCACACTGTGCTAAAGGCTTTCTAGCCTGACTTCAGCAAATTGAGTCAACTGATGAATTTGTAAGAGGCTTCCGGACTACTGCAGAAATATCCATTTTCTAGAACAGTCTCTCAAAAATAAAACCAAATTGAAGCACACCTACTAACTGGATGTTTTTAGCTGCATATTACACTACATAGAGGGAGCCAAATGTTCCCCTGTCACTCAACACACTACTAAAGATGTAAGTTGCTCTTTTTCTACTGTGGTTTGTAAAAAGAGGGGCTATCTTTTATCAGGCCAGCTGCCACTGAGAAAAAAACAGGATAAGCTTTTGGGCAGAAGCCCCTTCTTGAGGTCTGAAATAGCAGCAGTAGTCTTGAAGGTGAAAACCAGCAGAGAACAACTTATAAATTTAATTAGATTATGTAAGCAGCTAGACTATCTGAAAAAAAAAAAAAAAAAAAAAGGGCACTGATATCTGGAGCAAAGGAAGGAAGAGCAAGGGAGGAGGAGATAAAAAGGGAGCTCTACTGGCACTCACATAGAAAGCAATGAGTAATTTACTGCCTAAGGAAGGTGTGGGACAGGGAATTGTGTCCTGTGCCCTGATGTCTCTGCCAAGTCCAGGATCATTAGCAACATTAAGCGTTTCGGGTCCCATGATGTCTTTTGAAGGCATTTTATCAATGTCTCTCAAGAATCAGAGTTCAAGTGAGGTCTAGATTTGTTTCAGCTGTGACAGGCTGCTACAGAAAAGTATGTCCAAAGGCGGAAAAAGAGGTCTAGGCATAACTGTCCTTCTGTCTTTCATCTCGACCCTGACTACTGGTCTAAATCTCACTTATCCATAGAAAAGTAAGAAAAATATCCCTGCCCCAGCCAGCCCTTTCTCAAGTACATAAGCAGTGTCTCTGAATATACCCAACTCAATTTCCCTGAGGGAGTAATAACAGGAAGAGTCCAACAGCTTCCTAATTATTTCCCTGTTTTGAAAACATCACTCACTTGGAGGAGGTGCAGCACCCAGTAGAGCAAATGTATGTCCATGTACACCCAGTAGGGTGAATGACTTTCTCTGTCCCCATGTCACAGCTCTTGCAAGGTCCAGAGCCCCTCAGCAGTGTGTGGGGATCACACAAGGGGATCAAGGAGGCAGCAGCTGGAAGTGGCCAGGAGAGTTCAGACAGACACACACCTGCCAGGCTGCCCTCAGAAGGGACACCCTGGCAGCAGTGTTTCCCCAGCATGCTTGGGACAAGCTGGGAGCATTTCTCCTGGGAAAGTCAGTGTGTGGATTTATGAGGCTGCCTGTGTTAAATGGGAGGCTAGTTTGGAAAATGTGTGTGCAAAGATGCTTCCTAATACAACACAAGGAAAAGAGAGTGGATATACATTATTGCCTCCCTGAAAAAAAAAACAAAACAAAACAAAGCAAAACAAAACGAAACAAAACTGAGGAAAAAGAAAGGATGCATAGATGTGCCCAAAAGCTGTACCACCTTGCACCAGCTGTCAAAAAAGAAAGTGAAAAATGTGATCATCCCAGCTCGGTGACTCTGGGTAATCAGGAAAGGGCCAGTGATCACACATCCCAGACACCTCTTAAGAAGTTAGACAAGAAGAAAAGTGTTACTGAGAGATTAAAAGATTAGAAGAGGAAAATTGGTGTTGAAACCCATTAAATGCAACCACAGGCAATGAGGGAGAGGCACCAGCCCTGCTCTGGCACGGGACAGGACTGGTTGCTCTCCAGAGTTCCCTGCCATCCCTGACCCCCTCTGACTCGGGAAGGATGAAACGCTGCTCCCCGCTTTGCAAGCTGAACCTGAGCAGTGTCCTGGCAGCCAGGAGAGCCAACCCTGTCCTGGGGGCCATCAGGCCCAGCACGGCCAGCCGGGCAAGGGAGGGGATTGTCCTGCTCTGCTCTGAGCTGGGGCGGCCTCACCTCCAGTGATGGGGGCAGCTCTGGGTGCCACCAATGTAAGAAAGGCATGGAGCTATTAGAGAGTCCAAAGGAGGGCAGTGACGATGGCGAAGGGGCCTTCAGTGGAAGCCGTACGAGGTGCGGCTACAGGTTCCCGCTGAGGCGCTGCCTCGCCCTGCGCTGCGGGATCCCCACGCTCGCGCCCCCCTCGCGCGGCGGTTCCGGGC